CATAAACTAACTATATATTGGCTTTTACTTTACTACTAAATCCAAAGTACAATTTAACTACTAAATCTAAATTTATCAGTTAACTCAATTTCAGGCTATTTGAAATTCTAATACCTGACATAGTAAACTGGGGGGCTCATGTCTGAGATCTGAATCAGAGACTAAATTCAATCTAAATTAAAATTTAAATCACAAATGAATTTATATTTATCAGTGCCAACAAGATTTGATCATGACTGATTATCAATATCTTCTTGTATCACCCTCCCTTGAACAACTAGAAAAATATAACAAAAATGAATTGCTCAAAATTGCCAAAGTTTTAGAACTAGAAGTTAAAAGATCAATGAGAAAAAATGAACTGAAAAAGCATACTATCAAAATACTAGTCGATGATGATTTGTTGCCTAAGGAAGCATTAGAGGAATACTCAAGTGTCGCTACTAGCCAATCAAGATTAAATGATAAAGATAAATTATAGATCCAGCTAAAACTCAAACAAATCAAGCGTGTAGAAGCTCGTATCGACGCTGAAAGAGAAGATAAAGGCCTCGAAGCCGTAAAAGCTCGTATCGAAGCCAAAAAGAAATTAGGCTGAAAGAAATGGAAATTAGACTTAACACTGATCAATCAAGGCAAAATGACAACTTTGAACTTAATCGATATGTTAAAGTACCACCGTTCAATGAAAATGAAGTTGATAAATATTTCCAACAGTTTGAGAAGGTTGCCCAAACCATGGAATGGCCCACCAAAAAATTGTCATTATTATTATAGTGTTTTAACTGGTAAAGCACACAAAGCTTATGTCACTCTCTCTCTCTCTCTAGAAGATTGTATGAACTGTGATAAGTTAAAGCAGCTATTCTCAAAGCATACGAGTTAGAACCCAAGGCTTATCGCCAAAAGTTTAGAGGTTATCGCAAACAAGATAATCAAACTTGTATGGAATTTGCCTACAAAAAAAAAAGAGATTTATTTTGATCGATAATGCAATTCTATGCATATTGGCAACAGTTTCAAAAAACTAAGACCATTATGCCTAATTGTGCACGTGACAACCTCAAACTTACTTAGATGAAAAGAAAGTTGAAACACTTCAGGAAGCAGCCGCTCTTTTCGATGAGTACACTTTAACACATAAAACCACTTTTCATAAAAATAAATTCCTACCATCTCACCAAAAACCTGTATCTGTTCAATCCACTAAAGTTGAGGATTCTTCTAAAAAATCCAGCTCCACTAGTCTGAAATCTTTTGACAGTCAGGATAAAACTTTTTTAAAACTATCAAGACCTGTCTGCCATTTTTGTAAAAAACCTGGTCATGTTATATCTGATTGTAGGTGTTTGAAAAAGAAAAAAGAAAAGGAGGCAAAACTCAGTGCATTTGTGTCCACATATGGACATAGTTTCACCAGATCACCCGACGTTGTTGATATGGCCATTGGTATAATGGCGGATTTAGTCAGGGAGGAATTTAGACCTTTTGTGTCTGTTGGCTCTGTGTCTTTGACAAATGAGACTG